GGAACTTCCCATTACATGAATCATCCACCCCCAGCTTCTTTCTTGGAACTGGGTCTGACTTTGTACTCCGTTACATGACCGGGTTATCCTTAAGAATATTAGCGTAACATTCTCCAGGAACTTCCCATCAACGGTAGGAAACAGTTTAGACTCATATACCTGTTGGAGTATCAGGGAGCAGTTTAACCTCATATACCGATTGGAGGATTGAGAAGCAGTTTATACTCGTATACTCTTCGGAGTAAAGGAAGGAGCAGTTTATACTCTTATACTTATCGGAGTGTTCATTTGACTTAATTGAGCGATATAACGCCGGCTTCAACCAAGGTTTGGATGCTATTCTTGAGAGTAAAGCAATCCTTGGTGGGATGAAGAATCCTCCTATAGTACGCGCAATACTTCGGATCCGCAGTATTGTCAACTTCCTCCTGATTTGCGATGAGTGGTAGCTTGATCTTGTTGTTTTCAAGGAGGGATTCGAAGATGGCTGGAACGTCTTCGTCCTTGAAAGAGTACTCTTTTTGGAGCCTAGGACCCGAATTCTTTTGCTGTTTTCGGGATCGTTGTTGCAACGTCTGATTGGCATCAACATCAGCTGCAGGTGCTTTGCCTCTACCACGGGAGGCGAGGTTCGAGTTCGGAGGATTAGCCGTCGGTTGGCTCCTCTCGGTTTTCTTCCTTTGGAGGAAGCGTTTGGCTTGCTCTCCTCGGACCTTCAAATCCTTCCATGTTTTGGACGGTGCTGTCCCCATTGCTTCTAACACGTCCAATGCAAGGTTATTGTGGCAAGTCTGGAGAATGAACTCCTCAGTGATCGGGTCCCGACAGTTCATCGCCATGTTCCGGAACCTTTTGACGAAGGTATCAACTAGTTCCCCGTCTTTTTGTTTCTCGTCAAGCAACGACCCGATGGATATCTCGGTGTCATCGTCGAAGAAGTTAGTGAGGAATTTAGTCTCCATGTCGTCCCAGCTATTCACACTTCCTGGCTTGAGGCGACGATACCAATCGAAGGCGGCTCCACGAAGAGTGCCAACGAAGGACCGCACCATCAGAGGCTCATTACCAGAAATAAACCCCCAAGTGTGATTTGAAGTAAATCAAATGTTGAGTGGGGGAACCCATCCCATTAAACGGCGTGAAGTTAATTAGACTGAACTTCGCCGGATAGGGGATTGATTCCCATTCTCGTGGGTATGGACAAGGAATGCCCGTCTTCTTCACCTCTTGAGCGGAGATCAATGTGTTGATTTTGCTCTCGAGGTTCTTGATCTTCAAGTTTTCACCCGAGTCTTCGTGAGTCTTTGTTCTCGTTACCACCCCCTGCATTGACGGGAGGATTATTGGCATTATGAGCTTCATCTGCACCCGTGTCCTCATCTTCTTGATTGACCTGGTTACGATTACTTGGTTTGCCTTGCTGGTTTGTCAGCGCTTGGATTTGTTGGTCATGCATTTCTCTCATATTCTGCATGACCATCTGCATTTCGAACCTGAAGCTCTCCTATTGTTTAGCCATGGCTTCTTCGAGCATCTTGGCCACTTGTTCCGTGCTTATCATAAGTGACTCGCGGGGTTGTCCTTCGCTGGATACTGTATCATCTGATGCGATCGCAGAGCAGGCATCTGATTCTTCATCCTCTGAAGGTAATCTCGTCCGAATCCTACCATAAGTTCCTCGTATGATGGCTCTAGACTGCAGACGTGTTATACGCCAGGGTGCTTCCAGAATCGACTCGGGATTATCCTGTGTCGATGTCCCTTTGCTGGTCATATTAGTGGTGACCCTCGGAAATCCTCCATCTTCAACTACCGTTCTTCTTTGTTTCGACTACCCTTCTTCTTTGTCGGAAACGCCTAGACCTTGGTTTTGGCGTTTCGGTACTGAGCCTTTTGAAAACCGAAATTCTTTTGGGGACCGTCTTGATGCAGTTGCATTCAGACAGTACTACCCGAATGAGTTTGGAACAGGGGCATTGGGTTTCCAGTCCTCGAGGACTCCTCTTCCTGGCTTTACTCGTACCCCCAGCACGATAGTACAACTCGTCGGCTTGAAGGTCGGAGTAACCTATCGTGTGTTGGCACGACTTCTCAGGTATAACGTTGTCATCATCAGACGACAATGTTTCCTTCTGAGGGCGAACTGCCTTCCTTGGGCTTTCAAGAGTCACGCGCCTCGAAACATGCCTTTTTGGGCGTGAGTTCTTAGCGGGCTCCTGGACTTCGATGCGCAAATTAGTACGCGCAGCTACCATGAACTCCTTGTCATGTTGAAGGTGGCGGCGACCCCTAGCATGTTGAGTCGTTCGGGGCTTCTTCATCGGGCCCAAACGTTCTTGAAACGGAGCTTTGCATCGCTCATCGGGAAATGGACCGAGGCGCTCCAAAACCGACTTCCTTGTTCGGGAAGGTCCCGCGGGATCTCCCGGAGTAGCTATGGGAATTATCGGCGACTTAGGTTGGTTCGCCGGAGGTTGAAATTGCTTCGAAGGCCGCAATGATTGTTCCTTAGCCTGATCGTCGCTTCAGACTTCGGCTTCCATACTTGGCGGGTTGGTGGCGGCTTTTTGGCCACTTCCTTCTGCAGTCTTCTACGGGCTTCTTGGACTTGAGCCCGTGCTTGCGCTGATAGGGCGCGGCGCTTCTGGATTCGCTCCTCGAGAGTAGAGCGGGTTCTTTGGACGCGAACCCATTCGTTAATTGGAGATCGAGGGGAGGATTCTGATGCTGGTCGTGGCGACAAATTAGCCACTTGGCGCTTTCTGAGCTTCAGATCTGCTTGGTAATGGAGTCCATCCATCTGATCCAAGGCCTTGGCGAATTGGCGCGCGAGGCGTTGGCGTTGCCTTTGACGTGCTCTCTTTGATAGAGTTAGTGCGCCTTCAGCAGTTGACTCCTTATTCGCGAAGGAGTTCAGATCTGCAGATCTGGTCTCATTGGATGCCAGCGGACCGTTGTAAGGCACGACTGTAGCATCGACTATGGGGGCCTTCCTGCACCTGCGGACCATTGTAAGGCACGACCGTGCTTGCGTTTCTTGGGTCTTCAGATCTGGAGACCGACGGATCTTCTGGGAGGAGGAGGCCTACAATCATTTCCCAAAGTTTTATATTTTTTAGAATTTATTTGCTATTTTTAAAAACACTTTAAAAATTAGATTTACTGTTTTAATGAGGCTGGTAACTTGCTATTAGTCGACTGATAGAGTTTATCAGTCTTTGTTTTCGTCGAAAGTTGCCTTCATCATTGATTTCATTAAACTTTAAACGTTACAAATGAATTCAAACAACAAAGAATAAAAAGATTACAACTTTCTTGAAAATAAACACAAGATCCGTTCGTCGTCTCTTGCTTGCGTGGGTCTTTAGCCTGTGACGGGGACGTCAATATCTGTGGACTACCTGACAATCAGATCTGGTCCAGAGCTTCGTCGATCCGCGAGGAGATCTAGAAACTTGAAGCGCCTATCTCGATAAAAGCGAGATAATTGCTCTTCTTAGAATTACCACAACGGGATAAGACTAAGGATTGGATGCGGGTGATGTAGATCTGACGAAGAACTCTCTTGTGTTGAAGTGCTCGATCACTCTTCACTCCGACAGGGCTTCGCCAATTCTCCAAAACTCCAGATCTCAAAAAATGAGGCCTAAGGCTTGTATTTATAGGCTTGAGCAAAATCCGAGACACCCTAGGGTGTCTCCCAAAATCCGAGACACCCTAGGGTGTCTCCCAAAATCCGAGACACCCTAGGGTGTCTCCCAAAATCCGAGACACCCTAGGGTGTCTCGGCTTTGGCCGAGACACTCCGTTGAGGTGCATTCGTCCGCTTCCGCTGTAAATTCTTCGTCCGAACTCGGATTTGAGTGATTCGAAGTGCGTTGGAAAGCCGACAAGGAGTTCTATCAGCTCCAATGGTTGGATCATCTGTATAATGAATGAGACACGAAGGGCGTTGTTCTTTTTTGTAAACATCGTGGGGCTCTCGATTAGCCCGTACCTTCGTTAGTTCACGTAGTTCGTTGATTTACTTCAAGTGTTCATCGATATCAATCGAACTCCTGTGAACCGGATAGTGACGTTCATCGTCGTTCCTTAATACTGAGTTGTTCGTGGAGAGCTATAGGCAATTTTTGATGCCTACAGTATGATTGCTCATTGTCAAACTTTCTTTTCTTACTCAGATGCGTACGAGATGTTTACTAAATTTTGTTTTGTTTTCGAAATTCTTTAAGATTTTGATAAGCTGTAGCAGATTTTAATTTAGTATTATTTTCAGAATCCTAATCGCATGGTATACGTTTTCTCTTTCCTTAAAAATTTTCCCCATCTCCGGATGGGATATTTCTTTATTGATTTCCTTTTATTACTCTTTTCAGTGTACTGGATCCATCTTAGTGATGGAGGAAATATTTGATGCAATCTTTGCATATCTAGCTAAATAATGAAATAATGTTTTGATGTACCACAAATGTGTGGTTTTTTTCTATGATCTTTTTTCCCCTCATGTGACAAAAAGGCTTCAAGGATTTATTATTCTCCTATGGACTGGTTAGAGAGAGACACAGACTAGTGATTTGTCTCCCATTATTTGTCTCACGTCGCAAAATTTGAGCATTGGACTGAGCATTGTTCCCACTACACTCAGATGAGAACACCACATCCAACACAAGTATCTACCCAAAGATATCCTGTGATGTTCGCTTCTAGACAAACTGAAGAAAAACCAGGAAGAACCCCCGTGTCATATGGCTTGGTACGCATTTGCCAAGAAGAAATTTTCACGAGATTCTGGAGTTTAACTTCGTCGCAAATATAGGGCATGTATGTTGCAAATAGTCCAACCACCCGAGCTATCGTTGCAAACCCACTTGTGTAGCTCAGCTCAAATAGTAATCCTGGAGTATATCTACTTGTCACACAGGGTAATTGAAAATTGAACAAAATCAACAACACCATTTGTCAATGACAGTATCAAAATAGTACCAGATTTATAGTTAGCATTGTTCATCAGTATAAATGAGCAAAGCTTGCCTTTTTTAGGAAAGGGAAGATGGAAACTAACCTGAAGGAACAATAAAAGTGCATTTACCCCAAGAAACAACGAAAGAAACTTGTTGCTAAAACATGTTTCATCAATGAGAAGGGAGAAAGACATGACAAGAAACTCAACAGTACCACTGATCTATCAAGAATATTCATAAATTATCATCGCCCACTGTCAAGAAACTCAACAGTACCACTGATCTATCAAGAATATTCATAAATTATCATCGCCCACTGTCTTGTGCAAATTGACTTCTTCACTCACTGTAAGTCAAAGACCAGGTATGTTTCATCAGCAGCATCAACTCACCACCCTACACCAGATTTTATCAGGAGTCCTGGTTTCAACTCAATCTGCTGACAGCACAAGAAAAGATTATAGAATCCTGCACATAGAAAATCTCTCCATAAAATATACAACGCCAAGTGAAGAAATACATACAGTCTGTTCATAACAGGATTAAGCACATGCAGAATTAAAGCTATTTTAAAATTATTAGACAGAACTCAAATGCCATGTAGTATCACTTACTTTGCACTTACGTACCCTCACTTATTTTTCACAGCATTTATACACCATAAGTTGTCTAAATTTGGAACAATAGTACACTGTGTTATGTAAACGTGCAAATTTTCACTCGAATGTTACCGTATGACACTGGGTGTCAATTAGCATGTGTTCTTAAAGACCCTAACACTATAACAAAGAAGTTGTGATAACAAGTTACATTTTTATATTTTAATAATGCCCCCCACAGCTTGAGTGTCTTTTTTATAGACCAAAAACCTGAACTGACACAGTGGTATCAATTTTTTTTGTTTTTTAAATCTGCTTTAAATCTATGGCTGATGGGAATTGAACCTATTGCTTTGATATCATCTTAAGGTCCTGCCACCACACAAAAATTCCAAAGTTGTGAGTATTGAGGGTTATAGTTTTATATTCTAACAAGTGTCATACGAAACCATTCAGGCGAAAATTCGCACGTTTGCATAATAGAGATACTAATGTGCCAAATTTAAACAACTTATGGTATATAAATACTGCAAAAAACAAGTGAAGATATGCAAGTGCAAAGTGAGTGAAATTATAAGGTATTTAAATGCTATTTAGCCAATTGGAATCTCTCACATTAAATATAGCTATATTTGTCTAAAGTGTGATCTTAAAAACCACCATGCATATGCTCTCTAAACATGGCAATCCAATGTTGGTCTAGGAAGCAAAATGATGTGTAGACCTATGGCTCAGCAAATTGACATGTATACCAAGTCCATGTCACTGATGACTGTACCATCTCTATCTTGATGACTCCTATGTGACGGATTATAAGAGCATCCCTAAAATTTAGCTAGAACACCATGGAAAGCATAAAAGTAAATGAAAGCACAATAGCAAATTAGACAAATACTAAGGTTTTCGAGGTTAATCCTAAAAGCCTATATGGGGCAATTTTTCAGGTTTCTTCAAGAACTAAGAACAAAATAGAAAAATCACTTCCATGTAATTATTAGGCTCTTTATTTTCTTTGTTTTGATGCTACTTGAACGCTTTCGGAGAAGAAAAGTTAAAAGAGAAACATGTAGTATGATCACCGGTGCTGCTAGTGTTACTAAAAAAGAAGAAAATGAGAGTGATATAACCAAGTAAAATGAAGTACACATCATATCCCAAATATAAACTACCTAATCAACTATTAAATTAGTGATTTATAACGAGCAATACACTTTTCATATATAATGTAACTGAGCATTCCAAAGAAACTGATAAAACTATCAATATGAAGCAAATAGCAATACAACTTTGATCTGTTTAACTTACATGAAAGGTTAACTAAGAGGTATCACAAAATCATTAAAATAACGAAAACATAACATTATAATCATATTAATGAACCCAAAAGATCCTCAAGTCTACAGTACTATGCAGATTAAGCAAGATCTCCCAGTTTACATGGTTTCTCACTATATCCCAATCTGAGGTGACTTAAGTGAGAAATCTACTATTATACAGAACAACTAAACAAGTGACAAATCCAATAATCAACTAGAATCCTGCAACAAATTTGACTTCCAGAATCAAGATGCCGAGAAGGAAAATTATAATGAAGGTCCATGTTCACAAATGTATTTCGTTTATGATTACAAAGTGGCACTTGGAACTAAACCATAGCGACAATGGTGTCTTGATCACAAAAGTGTGAACCGAGTCCCAGAAGCTTGGGACCATTTTACAATAATCACTGGGCCGTTTGAGGTCAGGACACATCATTGCAACATTTTTTATTGGAAAGATGAATCATAATATATACCTCACTAAGCTTTGACCGCTCAGATGCACAGTCGAATATCTATTTAACACGTTCACTCAAACTACCAAAAAGGGAGTGAAAGATGAAAGAACTAGGTTCAGCATAACCTATTGTCTATTGAGAATTATGTTTTTGTTTTCACTAGTTTTGGCCAGTAAAAAACTGCACAAAGGCATTGTTTGTTTTGATATAATTGCAAGGTTTGCAATGGCAATTCCATGCAACATAGACATTTGTAGTTGTTTCTCACTGCAACTAATAAATGGAATTGCAACAGGCAGTTGCACAAAGGCGTCCAGTGCAACTGACAACTTATGCAGATTTAAGTGTAAGTTGTAGTAGCAACATTTTGAGCTGCAAATGGGGTTCCTTTTGTTGCAATCTCAATTGCAGTCAATCCCCAGAAATCCAAAAACCTTGATACCCCAAAACGAACCTTTGATTGCAGTTGCAGCTACAAATCATGACTTTTAAAACTGAACCAAATAAGTGCAACTATAACTTCATAGGAAAGTAGTTCTCGCAAGTGCAGTTTCATATAAATTGCACTTCAATTGCAATTATGATTAGTTTAGGTGGTGTGTTAACTGGAACTTAAGAACTCAAACGTCAACATCAATGCTTAATTTGAGTTTTGAATGAAGAAAAATCATCTTTAGCACATTTGAGAATTTTCCAGGAAAAAATGTCTACTTGCGGAGGCCTTATCAAATATTTCTACACCTGACAGCATGGCCTAATGGCTTTTAAAGTTCTAAAATTTCAGTCGGTATTGCATTCCAGCTAGGAAGGTTTAAGAAAGAAGAACATAGTAACAAGATAAAAGTAAATCCAGATCAAAGTACATCCACAGAAGTCTCATACAGCAGAACTGAAATTGATATTGTAGTCCTCGTCAAATGTATTTACCAACAAAAAGAAAACAAGGATGAAGGCATGTACCACTAGGTTAAAATAACATATGAAGCCAACATAGAAGCAACAGTAAAATAAAGTGGTGGTGTATGAACATGCTACATTTCCTTGAAGAGTACAATGCAGACAAAGAACAAAATTTACTTGGTAGCAACTGAAACTCCTTTTTTGCTACATTTGACCAATGTTTGGATGTTTTTTTGTAAAGTTGAGTATTTATGAAAACTAGAAAAAGGTACATCCACATAGACCTGAAAGCTACAGTGATTTTCAACCCATACATCCACATAGACCTGAAAGCTACAGTGATTTTCAACCCAAATCGCTCCAATTAGGAGGGATTCCACGTCATCTTCTCGAGTGACACATCATCCTTTCCCTTGTCAACCAAATAGGACTACTTGGAAAACTGATGATGACCCCACAAAGCCTCCAACTTTAAAATAAGTGGCGGTTTGGTAGCAATTTTTTGAGAGGAATCATTAGTGGAGGGTTTATGGGGTCCATCATCAACTTCTCAAATTTTACCTTGTTTGGTTGACAAGGAAAAAGGCTGATGTGTCACTCAAAAAGATGGTCTGGCACCCTAATATCAATCCCCTCAGATTGGAGGGATTTGGGTTGAAAATCATTGTAGCTAACAGGTCTATGTGGATATACTTGTTAATTGTGTCATAAATGCTCAACTTAACAAAAAGCATACAGACAGCCCCTGATTCCTCTCAAAAATATTATAACCAAACAGCTCTTTGATAGATAAAAACTGTTGTGTTCTCAATTATGCAAAAGAGTATACATCAATATGCAACTAACATCAGGCTCAACATATTTAGACTTAAATCTATAAGATTCCAAACCCAACCATAAGTTAGCCAAATGTACTTGTAAACAGAAGGAAAATAAAAATAACATCTTGTATATATGAATAAAGAGATAAAGGCAATGTAGGCGAACTGACATGCTAATATGAAGATTTAAAAACATGATTCAGCCCATTTGTCATGTCTGCTATTGGTAGAAGGGAGGAATTATGAAACCATAAGAATAGTTACAAAGAAAGACATTTATTGTAGAAGAATAGAAAAATCAAATTAGCAAATAAACTGAAAACAATAAGAAAGTTACACAATTATAGCAAAACTTATGTTTTTCTTTGTTGATCATCAATCATGGCTACATTTCAGGAAAAAGAGGAAAGCAAAGAATATAAAGAAGGATCAATGCCTTCAATAGAATAACCAAAAACTTCTGTGCACACAAAATTTTATATCACATCCATGTATGTTGTGTTATGAATAATTAAGCAGTTAAGTGGGCTAATAATTGTTTGTGCAATATGGGAAAGGCATGAAACCAATATGGAGAATTTCTATGTTTTTTAATCAACAGTAACTATTTGCAAAATTGCAATAAATAACTCTGATAGTCCTTATAACAAAATCGAGTAAGCCCATAGTACCCCGTGAAAGGACTCTGCCACTGCATGAAAATCTGAAGTTGTGGTGAGGATAGAGGGCTAATAATTGCTCTGTTACCCTGTCAAAGGACCCGTCCATGCACCAAAACTCCGAAGTTGCAGTGAGGGTTGAGGAATATAACTCTACACTAATGTATCCAACACTAATAGATTACCTAATGATTCACAGTAAATATCAGTCACCCCCATCGTAATCTGAGACAAGCATGTTTTCAAAATATAACAAACCTTTACTAATGCAACTTCTAAACAATTCCAAATAGGACTAGCATGTAATGAAAATCAATCATTTGACAGAACTGCTAAAGTTTAAATTACAGGGTTGCATTGCTTCAAGTTTGTAGAAGAACAATCTAAGAAACATAGATACCATGCTACAAGAAATTACAGGGAAAAAACACCAAAACTGCAAAATATTTGACAATGGTGAGCCTTAAGATAATCTGATGAGAAAGTAGCACCAAGTATACCTCTAACCCTGATAATCAGACAGAAAGAAAGGAATAGGAACCTATCCAATTACTCAATGATGGACTGGATAACTCCCGCCCCGACTGTCTTTCCACCCTCCCTGATAGCAAACCTCATCCCCTGCTCACAAGCAACCGGCATTATAAGCTCCACCACCATCTTCACCCTGTCTCCAGGCATCACCATCTTCGCCTCCTCATCCTTATCATTCATAATGGCACCGACTTTCCCAGTCACATCGGTAGTTCTCATATAGAACTGAGGCCTGTACCCAACAAAGAAGGGCGAGTGTCGGCCACCCTCCTCCTTCTTCAACACATAAACAATGGCTGAAAATTTAGTGTGGGGAGTAATAGTACCAGGCTTCGCAAGCACCATCCCCCTCTGAATATCCGCCTTCTGAATGCCACGGAGCAGCAACCCAACATTGTCTCCGGCCAAAGCTTCGTCTAAAATCTTCTGGAACATCTCCACTCCTGTCACAGTGGTTGATCGTGTCTCTCTGAGACCGACGATTTCGAGGGTTTCTCCAACCTTGACAGTTCCTCTCTCCACACGACCAGTGGCGACGGTCCCACGGCCCGTGATTGAAAACACATCCTCAATAGCCAAGAGAAAAGGGAGATCAGTCTGTCTCTGTGGAATTGGAATGTAGCTGTCAACAGAATCCATCAACTGGTAGATTTTGTCAACCCATTGGTCGTCTCCTCGCTTAATAGCCGGATTCTTCATCAGAGCTTCGAGAGCCAAGAGAGCAGAGCCGGAGATAATGGGCACATCATCACCAGGAAATTCATACGAGGATAGAAGCTCTCGTACCTCGAGCTCAACGAGCTGAAGGAGCTCCTCGTCATCAACCTGATCCTGCTTGTTCAAGAAAACAACCATGTTGGGGACTCCAACCTGCTTAGCAAGAAGGATATGCTCCTTGGTCTGAGGCATGGGACCGTCAGCGCCAGAAACAACCAGAATAGCTCCGTCCATCTGGGCGGCGCCGGTGATCATGTTCTTGACGTAATCAGCGTGACCAGGGCAGTCGACGTGGGCATAGTGTCGGTTCTCCGTCTCGTACTCGACGGTGGCGGTGTTGATGGTAATACCTCTGGCTCGCTCCTCCGGTGCAGCGTCAATCTCGTCGTACTTCTTGGGGGCGCTGTTGCCCAAGGCGGCGAGGGCCATGGTGAGGGCGGCGGTGAGGGTAGTCTTGCCGTGTTCGCAGGTGTGGGGTAGAGTGGAGCCGACTATGGAGTGGGAGGAGGATAGGAGATTTGAGGAATTGACTTGAGATGATTTCGGGATTTTGGGGGAGGAAGGGGAGGAGAAGAGGGCTTTGGTGGTGGTTGGGGCCGCGCCTAGCATAGTCATTGAGGCCATGGACAAGAAGAATGAGGAGATAGGGTATGATAGATGGGAGAGTGGAAGGGATTGGAGAGGAATGGAGAGGGATGAGAAGGGGACTCGGGCTTTATCTAGAGAGGGTGATGGGATAACGAGGGCCTCAAGTTTTGTGTTTGGTCTCCAAATCCCGGAGGGGGTTTGTGGGCAGTTCGCATCTTGGCATGAGGAGGGGTAAGTTGATGTAGGATGCTTAATCTGAGTTAGAATCTGTTTTGTTTAGGAAACAAATCTGATTTGATCTCAAATTTGATCGGTAGACTTTTCTAGTAATAAGAAGTCTTTTTAGGAGTTTTAATATTTTAGGAATTCTTTTACTATTTTTTGTAAAGTTTGAATCCTTATAGGAATTAGAGTCCTTGTAGGAGTCTTGTTTTTTTTTTTCTATTTAAGAAGAGTCTTGTAAGCCCTAGAGGCATAACTTTTATCAATAAAATTTCTCTTTTTTAATATTTTCTTCGTGGATTCGAAGATCGTTCTTTGTGGATTCAGAGAACACACTTGGTGGATTCCGAGGTTATCACTTCCGCGCTGCGTCAATTGGTATCAGAGCCTTGTTCCTCCGATCCGATTGCAGGTGATGAAGCTCCTATTTCTCGAACTGAGTTCGACGTGCTGAAGACCGGTGTTAATCAGATGAAGACTGCCGTAGAGCGACTTGCGTTGGCAGTGGAGCGTCTGAACACGGTAGGAGTTCAAAATCGTGTTGATGGTCGCCAACGACGTGATCCGACTCCATATAATAAATTCAACAGGGACAATGGTCTTAAGCAAGACATTAGAGTTGGGAAGAACAGTGAAGAAGTAATAAAGAAAGAAGAACCACCTCCAGAGCATAATATCTTTCGTACGAGATGTACTGTGATGCAGAAGATTTGTAATGTTATTATTGACAGTCATAATGGAAGGAATCTTGTCTCTCGGCGTATGGTGAATAAGTTAGGTTTGAAGACAGAAACACCCACCTTTCGTTAAGATCGACTGGATTCACAAGGGCAATGATATGCAGAACGATGAAGTGTGTTTAGTATCTTTTTCTATTGGTCGAACTTATTTTGATGAGGTTTTGTGTGATGTTGTCGAGATGGATACTTGTCATATGCTTTTAGGTAGGCCATGGCAATTTAATAATGGAGCTACCCATAGGAGTAGAGACAATATTTATATCTTCAAGAAAGATGGACGACGAATTATGCTCAAGCCTCTTACAGAAAAAGGAGCCATCTAAGGTAAAGACTGTTGAGAAGAAGGAACTCTTGGTGACAAACAACTATGCTTTAACAGAAAACTTGAAGCAATCTGAAAAGGTCTATGACTTGGTGTTTGCGGTGAAAGTTGCTATTTTCATTGTTATCGAATCTATTACAACTTTAGTCGTTACAATAAACTCGAATGAAATAAAAAGTTGATCTTTTTATAAGATCTCCTTACACAATGAAAATAAAAAAAGTTTACAACTTTATCAAACAAACGCAGAGATCGTTCATCGGTCTTCTGCTTGCGTGGGATCTTTGCCTGTGCCGGGGTTTATCCGTGGACCACCGTCGATCAAATCTGATTGCTAAAAAATTGGGCAGAGCTTCGTCTATCCGCGAAGGGATCGAGAAATCGTAGCTCTTGTCTCGGCGAAGCGAGATAATCACTCTTCTTAAGATTACCACAACGGGATAATCTTAAGGAACGGATCCGAGAAACTGTAGATCTGACGAATCTCTCTCTCTTGCGTTGAAGAACTGGATCCGATCTCTCCTCCTCCTCTCTGAAACTCATGCACCTTCAATCTTCAATCCGGCAGGGCTTCGCCGAGACACGAGAATTCCAGATCTTAAAAAATGAGGGCCTGAGGCTTGTATTTATAGGC